CCAAAGGGATGTCAGTCACTTACAGTTCTTCTGGTACCACTGTGGAGAGATGGAACCACAGTTGTAACAACAAAAACATCTCTGAGTGTTTTTAACATGATGTACACGACTTATGGGGATTCCATTGCCTGAACACATAGTTGCTTGTGTAAAAGTGCTTGAAGTGCTGATTTGTGCCCTCTTGAAATCTGTGCATGAGGAAGATGAGCCATTCTGTACAGGAGCCACCACTGAAATGCTGTGGAATTCCTATTTCTGCCTCTGTCTGTTAAGTAAGCCAAAAAGCATGTCCTGGTTTGAATTTTTCTTCTTTCATTTCATCCTTGTACCTGAAAATAATCTGATTTCGGTCAATGATTCATAGATTGCAAGAAAAAAGATGCAGAATTATTTGTTAAAACCGGATGTTATCTTGCAATTGTGGCATTTTGGGGGTAGGAAAACCTCACTGTACTTGTGTCTGTGCTTATCAGAGGAGAAATGTTTCATTTGCACTTGAATTTGATCTTTGTTACCTAGGAAAATTGTTTCAAAACTTGTGATCAAAATGGATGTTTAGTGTCCTTGTACAGGATTTGATGTCTCATGGACTGCAGAGCTGAGTGGGGGGAAAGGGATCATTTCAGAATATCAATAGAATTTGTCAGCAAAGGATGTGGTTGTGTAATGGTTCATATTTTGTAATGAATTTATGTGTGTCCATGAAAGGTGGAATTATGGAAAATGAAATTAAGGATTGTGTTCTCAGCCTCCACTGAAAACTAACCTGTGGATTTCTACTGGAAAGGGAAAAGTAGCAAATTTGTGTGATCATATACATTTAACCACAAGGTTTCTGTGTATTCTTCACTTTATGTAACTTAGTATAAACTTGGTTATCATGGTAGAAAGGCATAGAAAAAGCAGCAACACAAAATGCCTTTGGAATACTAGAGCTTTGCTCTAAAGTCCTGTTTGAAAGTAAGATGATGGAATTGTGTATGTTTACTAACTCGTTCCCTAAGAAAACAAGACTCAAAAGAGTAATTGCTCGTTGAGTACTGTTGGGGCTGAATACACCAATGGTCCTCAGTGGCTTTATTAAGTGGTGATGATAAAGAGGGTAATAAGGGACACAGGTCTTGAAACCAGGATAAACACCTGCATTATGATATTGCTGTAACTTGTATCTGGAATGAAAATGAGCCAGTCTCAGTCATCAAAAATCACTCTGGGTCAAGAACCAGGGTGCAAAGGGCAGGGAAGAGATGCTCTTAGAGCTGCAACCTGTGTGCAGGGGCAGTTCTGCAGCACTTCCACTGCAGCTAAGTTACTTCTCAAGTTGATGTGGAGAGTATCTGTTCTTAAGCCTACAGCAGTGTATTAAATCTTGACAGTGAATTTCAGTTCCTTCACTTGCTGTTTGCAACCTGCTTGCCCCAGTGCAGGAGTGGCTGATGTGAGCAGGAGCCTGTTTGCCCCTGTGCACACAAGAGATGCTGAAGGGTTTAGCATGAGGGAGGTGAGATTTAGAGGCAAGTGCATGCTTGGAGGGGGTAATAAACATGGCAAATGCAGTTATAAAAAGGTCACAGGACAATTCTGGGTCTGGATGTCACTTTTGATAACTGTCAGATGTTTTAACTTTAGAATCACTCAAGCTTTTGGATACAGTGATGCTAGAAAGTGGCTATAACTTTCCCTTCCCAGCATGGTCAACCTGCTAGGGTTTCACTAAATGCAGCACTCGGGGGTTTGTATAAAACCTTCTGCAGGGTTGGGTTGGATTCAGTGGGCCTGGGCTAAACCCTTGGGTGGGGTACAGCCTCTATTTGAGCTTTACAACCTTCTCTGGGCTTTGTCATCTAAGGTGGAAATAGTAGGAGAAATACATTTAACTGTTCTTTTTCCCTTCCTTTCTTTTTCCTAGTCAATCAATAAAGCCATCAAGTATTTTCCTGGCTATACATGAATTACATAGCAGAACAATTTTTGGGGTTATATAGACCAGGAAGAAACTGCTTCCAGCCAGCCCAGTGCAATAGTGTGTTTGTGTCCTGTGGCTGTTACACTTAGAATCAGGGGAAGGATAAGAACAGGGAGAACACTCTGTGTGAATAGAATCCACATACACTTTAAGTTCGAAAATCTGGATTAAGGAATAGGAAGTTTTGCACCAGTACTGGAGCATTTGACTGCAAATACCTTCAGGGAGTCTGGTTGTTTCTACTAAACAGTGACTTGCTGCACTCTAGTGGCTGTTGAATAGGAATCGTGTGCAAGGTCAGTGCTGCTCAGAGAAAGCTGAGAGGTTATTTCTGTCTGACCCCAGGAAGGTTCAACCAGCTCTGTGAAGTTTTATTTCAGTTGACCCTTTTTTGCTTGTAGCACTGGAGTAGTAATAGAAACCCTTCTCTGCCAGTAATAACAGGCACAAAGGGAAGTGTGCTGAGAAGGCTGTGGCTGTGAGATGGTATCTTACCCCTCTGGAAATGACTTGGTGTTGAAGTTGCTGGAGGAGACTCCTGTTGTGCTGTGGCCAAGGGCAGCCCCCTTGGGATGGGTTAGGGGGAAGATGGGATTTTCAGGTGCTCCTTGTGTTTTCCATGTTTAGGGTGACTGGGGTGGAGGGGCTGGAGGTCCTGTTGTTTCTTTTGTATATTGACACTACTTTTAGCTCAGACCTGCTGATTAGCACAGTTTTTTTTGTTTTCACTGTATAACTTACACTCTTAGTGCATACAAAAAAGGCTGGGACTGCCCCCTCCTTATTTGCTTTATTCAAGGAACTGTCCTTTCAGTGTCTTGGATTCATGTCCTTATTCAGAGCTTTCTTTCTCTACCTTGACATGCCCCATCTCAGAGTTCGGCCAGCATCCTGCAGAGAAGGGAAGAGAGGGAACAGCCTGTGTTATGTATGACTGGGATGAAGGGCTGGGACACTGTTCTACTCTCTAGACAGCAAATCACTGACGAAAGCCGAAGGGACACTGGAGCTAGCCTATTTTTTTCTTCTCCAAAATGGTTTATGTTGAAGCTAGTGATGTATTTGAAACTTTCTTTCAGGGTTCGTAGAATGGGAGTGTCATGGGCAGCATGGGAGCTTCAGGACAGGTTTATCAGAGGAGGTTTATTAGAGAAGCTCCTGTTGAGTCATGAGGTGCACAAAGGCTTCCCTGAATTTCTCAGCTCCTTGTCAGAGCAGTGTGGGTGCACCTTGATCCAATTTTAGCTCCAGGCTTTGCCAATAGTTTAAATCCAACGGATTACATAGGTGTAATCTCAGAATCCTAGAATCAGCTGGGTTGGAAGAGACATCCAAGATCATCGAGTCCAACCCTACCAAGGTTATTAGACCATGGCATTAAGTGCCACATCCAGTCTCATCTTGAAAACCTCCAGGGATGGTGAATCCACCGCCTCCCTGGGCAGATTCTCTTCCTAATATCCAACCTAAACTTTCCCTGGCAGAGCTTGAGTCTGTGCCCTCTTGTCCTCCTGCTGGTTGCCTGGGAGGAGAGACCAACCCCCACCTGACTATAACCTCCTTTCAGGGAGTTGCAGAAGGTGATAAGGTCTCCCCTGAGCCTCCTCTTCTCCAGACTAAACAATCCCAACTCCCTTAGCCTCTCCTCATGGCACTTATGCATTACTTGGTCTGGGTTGCAGGTGGAGCTGTTGGTGCTGAGGTTTTAAACCATCCGGGCAGAGCTCTGGAAAAAACAAATAAACATTGGAAGAAAACAAGCATTTACACTCTGTCTTCTTTAGAGAGCCCTATTCCTCAAATTCATGCTCATCTAGAACCATTACCTTACTAAATTGTTCATGGAAGGCTTATGTGTCCCTTAAATCCAACACCTTGTTCAGTAACAGGGAGCTGTCACATTACTGCTGTAACAGTGGGGAGAACCAAGGCTGGAAAATGCACTCACAGCAATATCCAGCTCCAAACTGCAGTGAGTGGTACAGCAAGTGGTGCTGGGCAGAGACATGAGCTCCCTGTTTAATAAAGACACCCATGTCTGTTCATATAGCTCTTGTTCATACAGACACCAGTGCAAAAATCATCCATGGGATTGACATAGTCTCACACAACCCTTTACCTGAAAGGGAAAAAGGAGCCAAGTGTCCTCTTAAAATGCTGGAAGCATCTGCTATGAGATGTACTTCGGGGGGGGGTGTGGTGTGTGTAAGTCTGTAGCAGGCTGCTGCTATCCTAGTGGGATATTTGGACATGGTAAGGGCAAAAAAACCCCATGTGGCACCACTGCATTAAGGGTATCAACAAGAGATGCTCTCTGGCAAGCCAGACCAAGGGTTTAGGCACAGTCAAGCACCTAGACAGAAGCTGGGACTTTGGTTTACTGAGGATGCACAGACAGATCACCAGGTCTGGGCTGTACTCCAGTCTCACCTTAGGCTGAGAGTCACCAAACAGCTCCTCCTCCTCGGGATCGAGGGCAGGCTGGTTGTAGGAGGCCAGGGCAGTGCTGCCTGCTGCCCCTCTGCTCCGTGCCTGGCTAGCATCCACGCTCCCTACAGCCTTCCCAGAGGGCACAAAGGAAGAAGGTTGTTACTTGTGTCACAACATTCAGTTTTGGCATTGTTTTTTGGAATGCAGTGAGTCTAATTATAATCATAAACAGAATTCTAACACCTCTGCTTAATAAGCTATTTCTTATCCATTTCACCCTAGAAAAATTTGAGCAAGGGAAGTTCATCCAGTTGAAACACACAGGAACTAGAACTTGTATTTGGGCTTTTATTGGTTTTTTAGTGGAGGAGATTATGCCTCTATTCCTTTCTGTCTGAGAACTTGAAATATTTGCTTCTGACTCAAGTGTTGCGTTCATGTTTCATGTCAATGAAAACCAGCACAGAAAGCATGGAGACATTAACTAACATTATGCTGGGATTTTTGGCTCAGCTACACATCCCTGTGCCACCAAACCCCTCATTAATGGCAAGTCTACCACAAGCTTTATGAGAGTAAAACATCTGTTTACCGAAGCCAAAGGCACCACATGCACATGGGTTTTCTCTGCTCCTTCCCTGGATGCTGGATTGATCCAATTACTCTGTAAAAAGCAGCAGCAATGTGAGACTGTTCAAGTCCAAGAACATCCGTTAACAGATTTAAAAGCTGTTGGCTACAGGGAATTATTAGAACCAGCATATCTTCTGGAGGAGAGGTAAAGACTTGTTTGGATTAGCTTTTGGATTTGCAGTCTACTCATTTGTATGATATTAATTTGATTACTAATACCATGTCATTCCTGTTATTAGCTCCAGGAGCTAACAGCAGCAGGAAAAGAAGGGTGATTAGAGCTCAGGCAATTGGACTGCCAGGAGGTCAACTGCAGGAGAGAGAAGGCTCAGAAACAGATATTATAGCAACAAAACAGCACTCAGCGATGCAAGAAAATCCATTTGGCAAAATGGCAAGGCTGGAAAAATGGTTTGAGCCAGAGTTTCAAGAAATCAGCCCCCAAACCTGTAAGGAACAGATATGAAATACCTGCACAGGCAGCAGGAAGATTCAGAGTTTGCAATTTCTTATTACTATTGCAACCAAGAGCCACTCAGTGCAGGGTGCAAGGTGCTGAACTGGGACTTGGGGGACACTGAAAAGACAGCAGAGGGCTCAGACAAGCCTGGACTTCCTCAAACAGCAACAAAGAGCTCCTTATTTCCCAAGATTTGTCCCCAGTGAGTCAGGCTTATGGCATGACACTTGTTATCAGGGAAATGTCCAGCAGCAACAGAGGAGCCCAAAGACTGAGACATTCCTGGCTGGCACTGCCTCTGACTTTTTCCACCCTCTCGACTTTGCTGCTCTCTTAAAGCTTTCTGCACAGAAAAAGAAGCTCTTTTGCCACATCAGGTTGGTGATCAATGCGAGAAGCAAAGCTAGGGCAAAGCCTGGACTTGATGGCTGCAAAGGAGACAGCTTATCCAAGTTTTCCTACTGGGAAGAACTTGAAATGGGTGTGACAAATCACAGCTAGGCTGCACAGGTCTGACCTCTTCCAAACAGAGTCCTGTTTCTGCTCTGAGCATCGCTCTGAGGAGATGGATTTTCCTATCCAAACATAGAGAGGTGGATTGGGAAGATGAGGCACTAAGCACAGCTAGAAACAGCAACAACATAAAAAGGCTGTTAGTCTGCTCCTACAAAGAAAACATCCTTTTTCAAAGGAACAGTTTTACACCTTCTTTTACTGACCTGTGTTTTATTCCACAAGGCACCTTCCCTGCTTGCTTCATCCGCTCTTCGTTTTTCCTGCTGCCCTTCTGGCCATATCAATCTCCTTTTCATGCCTAAGCCATCCTGAGACTTCTTTCTAGCCTCTTTCTCCAATACTGCAATCATCATCTTGATGAGATACAGCTCAATATGTGCAGGAACAAGTTTTCTAATTGCTTGAATTTTGGTGGTGTCTTGGAAAAAATATAAATATAATACTAAATGGGGTTTAAGCCTCTTGCCCCTTATTTGACTATGTTGTAATACACATTGGTTCGTGTGTATCGTTCAAGCATAGGATGGATTAAGGCATGGAAAAGATGACAAAATGAACCAGTATATGGGTTTGACTCATAAGATGCTCACCTGAGTCAATGGGAGGATTATGGATAACATCAGCAATGATCTGTTGAACTTCAGCAGACAAACCTGCTCTCTCCAGGCTGACAGGGTAACCAGCTTTCAGGGCCTGGACCAGATGAGTGCCAACCACAGAAAGAGGAAGAGATCTGCTCTCACTTATAGCCCTCTGGGAAAACAGAGGCACAAGGGATTGACAGGGCAGAAATAGCTTAAGTACAACTGAAAAAACTTTATTACTCCCAATAGCTAGCTAATTTCTTTTCCAGTTTGTAAACAGTGCTTTACTCTTAGAACCAAAACAAATGCCCCTTCATTTTCACATTACATGAATTCTCCTCTTAAGACTTGCCTTGAATAAAAATGTCTCAAATGTCATCAACCTAAACTTGCACTTTTCAAGGAGTGATTTCCACCTGGTGTCTTGTACTCCTCAAGGGAACAGGTTTGAAGCTTCTACTCATTTCTCCCCAGAGAATACACACACTATGCACACAATCATCAGGGTTAGTGAATACAGAGCATGAGGTTGTCCATTAATAATTATACAAGTGTTTCTTTTTACAAGTGTTTAGGTACACTTTTAACTTAGGGGCCATCTGACAAGGTTTACCTGCACTCTTGGGAGGGGCAAACAAAAATCAAAGCAGCCTCAGTTTCCTGCTGTGGAATTAAAAACGCACTGTATCCCACCTCACAGGAAGTCCAGTTTTCCATGCTATTACCAGTTCAGAGGGACAAGTCAAATGAGCTGCCATTTCCCAGGCAAGGTACTGCCTCAGTGTTTCAAAGCAATCCCACCCCAGCACTGGGCAGAGGATTTCAGGGGACTTGCCAATCCCTCCTTCCTGTCAGGTTTCAAAAAAGAAAGGGTCTTCATAGGGAAGAGCTTACCATAGAGAGATTTTTCTCCTGGAACAGGGTGTATGTGACATCCTCTGAGGGAGAAAGGGCTCTAGCACACTTGAGGGGAGATGCTTCTTTCTGATCTCTGGATGCAGATGTGGGAAATGTGTCTGTCTAAATGAGATAAAGAGGATTTAAAATAATTATATCCCACTGACAACCAATGGATCACTCACCCACTGTCTGAAATTGTCTGAATGAGCAACATTAGCAGAGTTATTCACCTCTATGTAGGTTGGGTTTGGCCTCAAATCCATGTTCTACTCAAAAAACAAAGCAAAGAGGGAGTCCAGATGGACACCCACATGTTCCCATCTCACTAAAACAAAGATGGGATTGTCCAAAGGACTTGGAAAACAAAACCAGCCAGAAAAACAGTGTCCAACTCAACACATCTTAGGTATTGCTCATTCCATGTCCCCATTCCTAGATCATATATCTTTCTGTGAAGCACAAAAAGACTTCTCCATGGAGTCCAAGCTGCAGAGTAAATTACATCCTTAACGTTCCTGCAAAGTAGCAGAGACTTTAAATCATACCTGCAAACCATTTGCTTGACAGAAGTCCTTAATTTCAGCCAGGAGAGGCATCAGCATATTGGATTTGGCTTTAGATACACCATCAATTTTCTTCACATTCTCCACACTTGTAGGCCTGGTTTAGGATGAATAATAAAAGCCATGGAAATGTCCTATGCCAATGCTTTGGAACATCAAAAGGACACATGCTTGGACTACAATCTATTAGTTAAAACTTGAAAATATGATTACTGCACCCTCATCACCTCTGCAACTAATTAACCTCACTGTTTGCCCTTCTGAAACATGAAGCTTGACCACAGCTTCAAGTTTGCTGCTTAATACTTTAGAGGATCAGTTTGCCACAAACATCTTTATTGGCTTTCACCTCCCAGAAGCACATAAACCCACAGCTCTTCCATGGAATAACAACATACACATCCCCAAAATCTTGCTGCCTCTTAGTAGCTGGGGAAGGCCCTTGGGATGCATTACCAGCTGAGCTCCCAAGAGAAGAAAGGGGATTTGTGACTTGGCTTGCAACCTCCCCCCTTGGTAGAACAAGTCTCCATGCTGGCTTTACCTTATCCGGGCCATATCCACCAGGATCTTGTTGGTTGCCAAGACAGCTGGAGGAATTTCCTTCTCATTAGCTACCTTCTGTCTAGCAGTCAGCAGCTTGCCATACAGAGCAGTCTGGGAAGAAGAGAGCCAAGTTCTCATGAAGCAGATCTGCATCACTCACAGAGGTGTAATTAATATCAGAGGAAAAGTTAGCACTTTCCTGATCTTTCTACTGCAATCCATTAATCATTCTTAACATACTTCAATCCTCTTCCAGGACTTCTATTCAGAACAACTCAGTAATTTTAAGAGCTGTCTAAGCCAGCTGCTCCTATACAGAACAACTGTGGTCTGCAGGTTGCCTGCAATTGAGAGATATCCTCCCTATCCCAAAAAAACTTACCTCTAGTTCTTTTTCTCGGGATGAAACAGCTGATTCTTGGGGCTTCCAAGGAGATTTCAGTGGCGAACGCCCTGCAACACTGACAAGAAATAAAGTGTGAAGCAAGCCCTGCATTAGATCAATTTATCCAGGGACTTGGGACAACTGAGCCATCGATCCAGGGATTTTCTACAAGGCTGTGGGAGAGCAGCAGCTCTGACAGCACCATCAGGCTGTGGTCTGGCAGCTCGTGCCAGCTCTGCACTCAGGCAGGGTTTGAGCTGGTTGGGGCAGAACCAGCAGTATCACCTAATGTTCACCAGTATCCCTAACTCCTCTGGGCTGGTCCTCTAACTTAAAAACAGCCTCTTACTGTTTAAACCTCAAGCAGATGGAATGACATCTGTGGGATGGGGTGGGGGGAAACCCAACCCACCAATCTCTCCCAACACCTGGATTCCCATATCCTTAGCAAAAAATGCTCTCAAGCAGTTGCCCACTCAGGACATCATTCTGACACCATCCAACCTTGGATTTTTTTGCCATGGCTGATGACATTAATCCCGGGAAAACAGCACTAATAACCTAAAACCATCAGTGACAGGGACACAGTTGCTGTGCTGCAAGTGGAATTAGCACAGCTCCCAGTCCATGGGCTCATGGACTTAGGGACATTTGCCCTTAATTAGACAGCTATGATTAGACTGCTCTGCCAGCAGACAAAATGGACTAAGAGCATCCTGAGCAAAGTGCAAAATAACACTTGTTTTGGATTTTAGCTGTCCCTGACATGATTTATCTCCACGTGGCTGCAGTGGCAATTATTCACCTAAGTGACACAGCCTCTTTTCCTGTTGGCTGCTGGCCTGAAGGAGGAATCCATTCAGAAATACAAGGTGCACTTAATCTGAAGCAGCACATGAGCCAGGGAAACAAATTACCTTTTTGCAAAAGGTTATTTTATTTCTCTTGACCTGAGGGAGCCTTGGTCTTCTCCAGACTCGTGCAGCAAGGCAGAGGCCTAGACACTCACTTATGTGAGTGTTAAATGTTGTTAAATGTTGCAGTTGTTCAAGGTTTTGAAGTATAATGCACTGTACAGCAAGTTTTAGGCACTTGTCTTATTTTTCACGGCCAATTCATAGGAGAAAACTCATTTTAAGGGTCACCATACAAGCAATATCCCATTTAACGCAGTTGAAATCAGGTGATTCTGCTTTCATTTAAAATACTCTACCTGTTAAGCATGTTATTGCTTCTTGGAGGAGTTTTATAGCTTTTCTCATATGAAAACATCTCATACAGAGACATCTATAAAAAAACAGAGCAACAAGACAAATGCTGATTTACCATCTTTGCTGTTAGTAATAAAATCTCCATTTGTGACACCACGACACATCTGCAAGGTGTTTTTAACAGGAGCAAGGATGGATCACAGTGCAAGAGGGTTGTCCTGGTACAGACCTGCCTGACTGGGGACTGAGTTGTTCCTTTGATGTCTGGAGAACGCTGTGTGGAGGCCACAGGTAAAGGTCTACTGCTGGAATAAGATTAATTGCATCTTAATCAAATCAGTCCAAGTCATTGCTACAGTGACACTGCCCTGAAATAAACATATTGCTAGGCAAACTGATTTGAGGTTGGTACAGGAACATATTTGGCAAATCAAGTTACTGATTAATTAGAATCACCATTCTTCATGAAAATCTACTGAGGGCCTCAAAGCCTCTTAAGTCTGAGCCTTTAACAAGGAAAAACAATGTTGTCTTACAGAGGATTTATGGCATTTTCATGACAACACTTGAAAAATATTTGATTACTGGAAAGACCAAATATGTTCCAATTGTCTGGTCTGCACTAAGCATACAGCTTTCACTATTGCTTATTGCTTCATAATACGCTTTTTTTCCCCTTCTAGCAGCTGACAGAGCCACAACAGTAGATTATCATAAGAGCAAAAACATTGGTACTTGATCATTACCTAATATATCTACTTATTAGCAACAATGAGACAATGTAGACCCCAGAACAGGCTCCTACAGCCAGCACTGAAGAGCTTTGTTCTTGTATTACTTCTAGCCACAGCAAAGCCTCTGCAACCTCCAGTTCATTACCTCTCGCTTCAAAAGGGTTGGTCAGAGGCAGTTTTTGTCAAGTCCAACTCAATGCTATTTAATACAACCAGAAGTAAAAGATTTCAAGCAAAACTTGCCATGCTCTCCTGTCCTGCCATCCCCAAAAGAAGGTTTCAGAGAGGGACTTGATATTGACAAAGTGCTCAAACACACACACATGCTATAATTACCTTCTAGAAGGTCTCTGTAGATTAAGGTCTTCACTGGACTGTAACAGAAGACTTGGATTTGAGGCAGATTCAGCATTCAACAGCCAGTTCCTACCCTGTAAGAAACAAACCCTACGGCTTAGCTATAGATGACTCCGAGGAGCTCTCAGTGGGTCGTTTCACCCCCAAAAGTACCTTCTGGGTGAGCACACAAGTGGTTGAAAACTTGTTGTTATGCCCTGGGACTTCTTTGAGGAATCCTTCTAAGATCAGCTGCTGGCAGAGCAGTTTCCACCAGTTCTCTGGCCATTCTTTCCCAGTGCCAAAGAGAGGGTGTCGCCGGTACCGCTGAGGCAGGCGCTGAGAGGTCTGAAAGCATTGACACAATCACTCACGTTTGTCCAGTTCTTGTGGAACAAAGTTTCAAACATAACCAGGTAAGCCAAAAACCCAAGATGTGAGGAGCCTCCTCCACCCATCCCCACTCCCCCAACCATCCCCACTTTCTGCAAGGCTGTGGCAAGATCATTGCTTTCTTCTGCAGTTCTGTGACCTAACTTTACATCACAGAACTCTTACAGCATCTCCCTTCACACGAGAGGGTCAGAGGAACAACTCAATCATCCACACCAAAGAAATCAAGTCATCTCTTGCACTTCTATTCCACCACTTGAGGTCAGTCTACCACTGCCTCAGTTCAAACAGAAGCTGTTACCTGTTCTGTTTTTCATTCAACTCTAATTCATTGCAAAGTAGTTTTTGTTTGGTTTGCTTCAAAATACCCCTGATTAACTCCTCTCTTACAACAGCTCAGACTCTAAAATAGCTGATTAGCTCCTATCTGATGGGTTTTCATGCCTGAATTCAGAACCCAAATGTTATGTTAGCTCAGAAAAAGGTTTTCCTTGTAGACAGCCAAAGGTTATTCTGAATTTGCAGTGCAAATTTGGCATTAATTTCACTTATTCCAGTGAATATTCACTAATAAATGAAGACTCCATTGAAATCTGTTACAGAATATTTTTCCCTAGACGCATTAGTGTGGCAATTAGCAACTTCATTAAACAGTTAAAAAGGGACATAATTAACCCAGTTTTATCAGGTATACAGGTGATTTTTTTTCTCCTCAGTCTGTAAAGGTACAAAATGATTCTGTTCTAACTCTTAATTTCTGGTGAGTTTCTAACTTAGTATTTCAAAATCCCTGTAAGTAAAGCTGTGTAGACATCATTTATATTCACCCTATCATCCTCCTTCCCACCTCAGTACTCCAAGTCAGGCAGCAGCACAAAGCTAGAGCTGGAGCCATTATTAGCTTTATTCAAACATAAACCAACTAATTATTATGCAAAGATGCTTATTCTTCATTCTGAAAAGGCTTATTCCTTTGAGGACAATGAAAATCATGCATTTTCATGAAAGACTAAGGACAATCTTGTTTGCTGCATTCAGAAAGTCAAGACTAACTCTCTACAGAAATATCCATCTCTCCAAGAAAAAGGACATACATACATTTACAGGTTTGTATATCCATCAGTCAAGAGGGACACCAACAGTCCCTCCAGCCTCAGAACACACATCAGGAGTGTGGCTATCACTTACAGATCCTCTGAGAAACAGAATGGGCATTTTAGTGCCAAACTTCTCCTCCAGGGCACTCACTGCAGACAGCAGCTGATGGCACTGCTTCCCAAAGTCCTGCAACCCACCTTCAGGCTCACTGGGGACTGCAGGGCAGGAGCTTCTGAAAGGCACAAACAAAACCAAGACGTACATAAATGCACATCAAGACCCTTCTCTGCTTTCTAATATTGTCTGTCCAGGAATGACTGAAGAAAATAACAAGTGATTTGGACTTGTACTTAGTCTCACATTTTCAGTCCTAGATCTGTACACTTGCACATGTCAAAGTTACATTAATATCAACAATCTAAGTGTCTCAGACAGCTGCCCAGCACAACAATAAGCAGCCCTTCACAGTACCTGCTGTTGCAGAACATTATCTCTTCTGAATTGAATCCTCTGAACTCACTATTTAAATACTTGCACTGGATTAGGCACACAAGACATAATTTTACCTAACAGCAAATAGGTTTTTGTCTGTTTCTTTAGGAAAATAAAGGGGAAAAAAACTGAAGGAAAGACCAACCCCACTAAAGGCTTTCTAGGGTTTGTTAATGCTTTTATTACTGACTGGAAGAACCCACTGAAAAATTATTGGCACAAGTCACTTCTAAGGAGAAAAAGGGAAATTGATGTATTTCGAGGGATTTCAGTTCTGCAACACAAATTCACTCTCTGGCTCTGTACTGGCACAGCAATGTGGCTGCAAGGATTGAAATTAGGACCTCAAATTGTTTTCTTTGTTGGTTTTATAGAGGTCAGGCAAAGATTTTCTAATCCTTGACATACAGCAAGTGTAGCTGCATTGATGACACTTTTCTGTAAAGCAACACAGCACAATATCTTGTCTTGGACGAGAAAGCATCTGACTGCCAGCAGGAACAAGGAATCCTTTATTATAACTTCAGGGAAAGGTTTAGAACTACAGGAGCAACTGAGGAAGGTATTTCTGCTCATACCTGTGTGACTACCAACCTTCTGGCTTCCCTTCAGCACCTCCATGAGGTTATTAGCAAGGCTAAAGAACACATCTCAGCACATCTTGTAAGAGAACAGCTCCCTGGCCACTGAGACAATTTAACCTTAGGCACGTGGTACCACATACCCAAGTGTTTTCCTTTGGGATTAATCACTTTACAGGGTTTAAATTGACAAACAAAAGTGTATTTCACTGTTTCAGGGTGTTGCTCTAAACCCTTTTGGGACCCATGGCCATGCTGTTTGCTGTTTCCAGGCTTCCCCACAGCCTAACTCAGAGCTCATAAACCACCTCATGATTTGCTCAAAGGTTGGAGAGCTGTTCAAGAATAAACCTCAGGCTGAACATCTGCAAGATCAGATGCATAAAAGTCAGTTCTTATAGATAATTTGCCTTTTAAGTCAGTCTGAGAGAACACAACCTCTAGGATCAGCCTTCAGGGAAGGAAGCTTACCTGGCCCTGCAATTATCGCAGCATTCCTCTGTGCCCATGATACCAGAGGAAACCTTTCGCAGCTGTTTGTCTTCAAAATGAGACAGGATGATTCTGCCCAAGGGAATGGAAGGAATTCAATAAAAGACCAAGAATTTACACATGAAATTTACTGCAGAAAACAAGAGTTGAAATCAGCATCATGAATTAATGCACTGGGGAACCAATTATTTAGCCTTGATTCCTCTAAAGGAAAAGTTGGGCTATTTTTTTAAAGGTAAATAAGGAAATACTTGACGTACAGGTATAAATGTGCTGAAGGTTGTATTTTTGATACTGCTTATTAACATGAAACAATGTTCTGTGCTTGCAGAACACATTGTGACCGTAACATCTGGTTATAACCTCCAGCTGCGACTGAGTCACAATAGCTCTTATCAAAGCTATTACTGACTGGAAGAACCCACTGAAAAATTATTGGCACAAGTCACTTCTAAGGAGAAAAAGGGAAATTGATGTATTTCGAGGGATTTCAGTTCTGCAACACAAATTCACTCTCTGGCTGCCTGAGATGACAAAGCATTCAACAATTCCAGCACTCACTTCCTCCTGCAGCCACTGGACACAAGGTAGTTCTCCATTTTTGCCAACATTTTCAGCTTATATAGCCTGAAGTTCTGGTTGCAGATCTCGTTGAGGAGACGTCTGTCAGCCGAGAGGGGAAAACGAAGAGCATTAAATACTGACCACTATTCCCCTGTGCCACACCAACAATGAAACACACCAGACAACTGCCTCTAATTCACCAGGAACAGCTGGAAAAAACAACCTGCTAAACCCAGAGCCAAGCTGCCTGCCTGCTTCTCCACAACTGGACCCTCAGACAGTGGGGCATACTCAGAACAGCACCTTATTCATATTCTTCTGGAGAGGGTAGAAGAAGAGACAAGGAGCTTATTCCAACCCCACAGGCTACTGAGCTTCAGAGATCTATGCCAAAAGGCACTGAAGAGGGAGCAAAGGGCTGAGAGAGCTGCTTCTCTCACTCTCCAGTTGTCTAAACTCTAGCAATTTCTCACCAATTCCGCTGGCAGAGTAAAAAATATACTAAGATATCATAACTCTTCTTTCAAGGAACCCAGAGGTGGCATGTTAGGACACAACTACCTCTTGCCTAATTTAATAGGCTTTATAATAATCATGGGAAGCATCCAAGCTGAGGAAATAGCATGGGAATACTTGATGAGAAAATGGAGCACTCATTCTGCTGCACAAGCCAAACCTGAGCTACCACACAGCATCCAACACTGTTCTGGCTACTATGTCCAAGCTGTTGCCTCCAGTACTTTACCTGTTACAAGCCAAGTCTGCTGCAGCCCACAAGACATGACAGGAAGCAGGAAGCCCATCACGCCCAGCTCTCCCAATCTCTTGGTAATAGGATTCCATTTCCTTTGGAGCACCATAGTGAATAACCATCCTGATATCTGCCTTGTTGATGCCCATTCCAAATGCCACTGTGGCCACAACACACTACAAAACAGGAGCCACATGCTGAGTGTTTTCAAATGAGCACCAATTATGCCTGGATTAATGCTCACACACTTGGTGACAACTCATTGCTACAGACTCAAAATTCAGCCTCAATTCCAACAGCTTCAGACTCACACCAGAAACTCTGCAATGATAAACAGGACCAAGTGGACTTTTCTTCCTCCATACCTGAATTTCATCCCTCATGAACTGGTGATGGGTGTCTCTCCTTTGCTTGGTCCCCATTCCAGCATGGTAGGTACCACAGGCCACATTGAGTTTGTTCAGTTCAGACACCACCTGCTCAGTGGCCTTTCTTGTAGGGCAGTAGATGATAGTGGGGCCTTCAAACTCATACACAGAACTGCTAAAGATAACAACAACAACAGAATCAAAGAACACACCTGCCTGCACAAAATACATCCAAGGGATCAACAAAACCAGGCTGAAATCCTTACCAGCCTTTCCTAGTTAGGAATTGCTTCAAATCCCTAAGGATATCTCCACTTTGCTGTCCAACCTCTAAGTACAGGTTAGGTCTGTCAAAACTAGTACACATGACTTGGGGATTCCTCAGGGTCAGGCATTTCACTATGTCATCTCTGATTGAGGGACTTGCAGTTGCAGTTAAAGCCACAATGGGAACCTGCAATGAGAAGTAGAAGAATAAATACGAGACCTCTCACAGTTTACTCTTCAGAGTAAAGTGATACAGAATGTGAACAGGCATTTCAATGTGCTCATAATCATTGGATCAGTTCAGTCACTTGAAAAATATAGTGAACATACTTAAATATGTAAATATAGCTAACATATCTTCCTGAACACTTGAGACTGAAGCTCTAGGAGAGTAGAAGGGACAGAACCCTTGAAGATGAAGTTTGATTCTGAATGTGTGATTTCTTCAGCTGTATCTTCCACGAGTCCCCAATAATTTTCTGATGTCATTAGCTAAATTTAGGGAACATAAGATGAAACTTCCAATATAAGGGCTAAATATTTTGAGCTCATGCAATAAATACTTGAGGAGTGTCTAGAAATCAGGTGCATGCTCCTACAAGCCACCCAAGTCAGCTAAAACCAAATCCCTGTATTCAACTAGAAGCTTAGGGACATCATCTTGTTCAGCAAAGAGATCCAAAGCAGGTAAAATTTCACAAGTTCCTGGTAGTCCAAGTTCAGAATATGCTTCATTTAAGCATTTGGAAAAACCCTCAATGACTGTCAGGGAGTGCACAGACTCCAAACCAGCATGGTCAGTACACCCAAAGATCAAAACTATCACACAAAATCCTTCTCTTGTAGTAGAAACCAAACCTCACCGATGGCAGAGCCTTCTTTAACGAGCCCAAACTCCTGAAGGAGTTCCTGAAGTCATGGCCCCACTCAGAGATGCAGTGAGCTTCATCCACAGCTATGAGGGTGATGCCTGGTGGGCACAAAACCACAGCATGGACACATGAACAACGACTAAGAGCAAAGACCCTGTTCTGCTCAGGCTTTCCTGAGAAGGCACCAGCAGTTGCTTAAGCTGCTGTTCCTAGAATACTTTGTGCTGTACCCACTCCCCAAATCCTCTTTTGTAAAGAGGCCCAAGAGCTTTTACAGACTACCCCCACCACCATCACCCTTCCCTCTCCAAGCTCCACATCTCCAACATCCCTCACAACAGGTCAAAATCTTGAGCTAGCTCCAACAGGAGCTTTCCCCACCCACTGCTTCTCAGATCTTTTCAGTAATAGTCACAAATAACCATTACAGGTGTCATTAGTTCTATTTTCTGGATTGTAGCACAAAGCCTGAGTGTCTCAGGTCTGCACTAAAGAGAGAAGCCAAAGTCCAGATAAATATGAGGGGAGAAGGGTTAATGTCTTCCCTCCCTACAGCACTAGAAAGTCAGTTCCTTAGCCAAAAAATCCCTGGAGTTTTCATGCCTTGATTTTACTCAATATGGCATGTTCACCAGCTGCATCACCTCTAATGAAAAGAGCATTTCGAAGGTATTTGAAAACACAACTTCATTGTTACATTCTGCAAAAGATCACAGATTAGAATGCTTAAAAGGCTAAAATATTTACTGTTATACATTTCCCCTCCTGTGATTCAACAATCAGTGTTTTAGCACCTCTGTTCCCAGTAAACTGTCCAACATTCCCAGGCTAAGATCATGCTAAAGACATTGCTCACATATGTTGTTTTACTGATCAGGGACAGCATCTTCTGACACCACTTACTGCAGTCACTGCACTACCCTCTGAGCTCACTAGTGGTAACAAACCGGTGACAAAAGTTAACAAAATTTAAATGTAATTATGAATCTAAGCTGCCAGCTCATCCACAGCCTTATCTCCAACTTACCAACAGTTTGGTTAAGATCCTGAAGTAACTTTAAGTTCCCTGAACAAAACTCTGGAGTCATGTATATAACTCTGTACTGACCCCTGAAACAGCAGGAAAATACACTGTCACAGAAGGGAAAATCCCAGACAAATAAAAGCAACAAAATCATGACTGTCTTTAAGAAGGAAATATGAACAAGGACAGATTTCTGATAGGGAACAAGAGGAAGTAAGTGAAGACCATAGAAAGTATTCCAGAACAGCAGGGAAGCAAGGCATGACAGGAAAAGGAACAGCAGCAGACTTTCACCAGCCTTTAGGACTGTTGTGATGACTTGGTGGCAAATACAGATCTAAAACCCAAATAGTCAGGTACAAACCAGAACACAGAGCTAACTCAAGCCTGACCTCCCCAGCCAGAGGGCACAAGAGGGGGCTGTAGACTCACACACACACAGCCTGGGGAATGCAAACCATATCCCTGACTGCCAGGTTCCAGGGCTGAGCCAGCAGCAGGAGTTTCAGGCAGGAGGGGGCAGGGAGACATCCTACCCCCTCCAACACACCTCCAGCACAGCCCACAGCCCTAGAAAACCTGGCTGTGACTTACCCTTTGATGCTCTCTTTGACCTCTTTTGACTGAGCCGAACCAAGGAAACAAGCTGGAATCCCTGACATCCTGCAGGAAGAAAAGAGCACAGTCACGAAGAGATTTACCCTCCAAGCTTGAGCTTCCAGCCTATGCCAGCACTTCTGAAGGAAGTTCAAGCTGTGAGGTCAGACACTGCTTTCTTCAAGGATCTTTGTGAGAAAAACCTTTGGAAAAAGCAAGTAATCTGTGGCTTTTCTTACCACCCAAACACTCCTGCTCTGCCCCTCCAGCTGTCCCCAACGCACACACTGGATTAGTGCAATTAGGAATAGGAGAAGAGATTGTTTTCCTTGTACGGGGGCCAAGTTCACTAGTAAAACACTCAAAATAACATGCAAAGTGTATTTTCTTCAGCTATTCTCTTATGCAGTTTATCACATTTGGATTTAAGACTTACTAGCTCACCAGTTTTTTCCTCAGTCTTCAATCTCCTGTAAGCTACTGGTGCTGCATCTGCTAATTTTCCATCAGGTGGCTCCTTTTTAATGACTGATTTAATAATTACACTTACCAAGCTCAGCCAATTTGTATTTTACCTCTGAACTTGGTGATTCACTGCACTTTCTCGAAGCCCTTTGTGTTGATAGCTGCTTCCCCCTCATTCCTGTTGCAGTCAAAGCACAGCCAAGACTGACAAGAGAAATTACTGAATGGCAATAGGTGGTACAAATTTGGTCTCCTCAGCCTTCATAAATGAATGACCCACTGAGAAGGTCGTGAATAAACCCTTTCCACTGAGGAAAACAGTGTAAAAGTCAAAGCAGCAGCTGAATACACAGACACCCTGCTGAGTAATACTCAGTGGAGGAGGCTTAGGCTGTCCAGCCATTCATCTGCACACAGCCATGATGTGCAGCAGAGAATTCCACACATAATTGATGTTCCTCACTTCAAAACATCTTCATTTCCCCTCTTTCACAAAAGACCAGTTCTTCCCAAGCTGGACAAGGCAGGAATGAACTAGACAAACTCAGCATGAGCCCCAAAGCTTCAATGGAAAAGTGTCAGAAGTGAATAGCTCTTACAATGGGAAGCAAGGACATGCAGAGAAAGGATTATCAGGTATTAAAAATCAAAGAGATTTATCTTGACAACACCTGTAACTGCTCATGTGAGAGAGATTTGGCGTCACCCATGAGTTTCCCCTCTTAGAACTTTTAAGAAGTGAAGAGGCCAAGTGTTAGGAGACCTACTACACTGTCCCTCTTCAAAGCCTGTGCTGTCACTTTGATCTGAATTGCCTACAGCTTCCAGCTATGCTTTGTTCAGATGTCACTTCTCAGGCCCAAAGGAAGCCCTGCCAGATAGTGACAGAACTCTCACAGGCTGAAACAGCCCATCAGGCTCCTCCATCAGTTCAGCCTGTGAATCCAGGAATAGTTCAGATGTGCCTTCAGAACCAGGACAGGTCCTCTGCACATTCAGCCTATGGCTTACCTAAGTGGCAAACCCAGTGATCTGAGACTTATTTGCACAGCTTGTGTGTGTTCCTGCAGAAACATATGCTTGAGAGCTGACACAAACAGCTTGCTGTATCCAAACTGCAACTTGAAGCACCAAGAAATGCCACAGGCAGAATCTGTGGGTTTCCACAGGCAATGCAGCTTGTTGCCAACGTGTTACTTACGTCAGCTGCAGCACCTGGTCCTCCATCAAGGAGATAAGAGGGCAGATGACAACTCCTGTGTGTCCAGTATAAACAGGAGGAAACTGGTAGCATAGGCTTTTTCCATAGCCTTAAAGAAAAAGAGGCAGGAATGAGACTTGATGTTTTCTGTGCAGCTATAACAGAGAATTCTAACACCTTGGTGAGCCCTAAAACAAAACTCCATGATTGTTCTGTTACTCCTCAAAAAGGGAATGATTTTCTGCAGTTTCTTGGGATGTAAAGGTAACTTACCAGTTGCCATAACAACAAGATTATCTCTTCTGTCTTCTAAGAGAGAATTGATCACTTTCCACTGGACCCTTTAAATTAAACAAAGGGGAATACTTGGATTTTGCCACCACATATAATAAGTAAACTATATGGAACTGCATATTCTCTGAACTGTGAGTTAAAAAACCCCTGAGGCAGCCTAAAAGTGTTGACTTTGCTCACTGCCACCACTAAAACACTCCAATTCCTGCAGGTAGGCCCAGGATTGTCAGAGTGGGATCTCTAACAGGACTCAGCCAACAGCATTTGATGCAGACATGCACAGGAGATCACAAAACAAACGATATCTCCCAGGTGTTAATTACTACTTTTCAGTGTTTGTGGGCCAGTTATCTTCCAGGCAAGAGACTGTAAACAGGACCTTGATTTGTTTGTTAGTGGCTTTTCAAGTAAGTACTAATGAAAACATTACCCAGAAGGAAGGGGAAAGAAAAGGAACCCTGGAGCCTCCATTTTAACAGACAATGCACTCACGGTTTGAAAGAAGAATGCCCAAAATAGGTCTTCAGACACGTGATGTGGCTTTCACTGGGTTCTGGCAGTGATGGATCTTTAGCGGGAGAGAGGAGAAACACTCATCTGGGATTCAATTTGAGAAGCACTGTTTCGCCAAACAACAGTCTGCTCCTGGTTAGTGATGCCCAGGGCCTAGGATTTGGCAATTCCAGTGAAAAGGGAGACATCAAACCACAGATATTTACAGGCCAGAAAGAAAGATTAAAAAGCAAACAGGCTCCCCAGAGACCCTGCATGAGGAGGAGACCATATGGCTTGATTAATGAGACAAAGCAATAGGTACTGTCATGCATAACTGCATCCTTTGGAACATGTTCATCCCAACAAGCTATGGTGTATTTCTCCTCACATTTCAGCCTCTTTTCCCCTCATTCTATTTGTCTCCACAGGGACAGCCCCAAGGTCACCCCCAAGGCAGAACACCCCAAGAATCCTGTCACCAAACAAATGTAGGTAGGGGAAGTGTCATCTTCCCCCTCCACCGTGCTCTGAGCAGGTCCTCTCAGCTCTGCAAAGCCTCCATGTCCCCACAGCAGCTTTAAGCTGACACAACGTCTACTGATTGTGGCAGAAGTCAACTCTTATTTTGCCAGGGACACCTGTACATCTTCATCTTGCCACACAAACAAGCTGCCCCTTGAAAACTTAGGTGAGGTTTAACTTGCTGCTTTAAGAAACCAAACACCAAACAGCTGTGTTGCCACAGCTGCTTTTATAGACAGTGGATTGTTTTGTCTTTAATCATGCACTAAAATTCAAAAAACATACCAAAATATTCCTCCTCTTCTTCCTCAATGCCTTCATCTTCATCACCATCTGGTACAACATTCACATCTGTGTCAGGAGTTCTCCTGTCTTTAGTGGACTCTCTTTCGGTTGCAGCTCCTTCAGAATCATCTACATCTTCTAAAGACTGAGAGATTAGGAGGAACAAAAAGTGATTTTGGAGCATGACAGGAATAGATAAATGCATATTTAAGGTAATATGATACAGGGACACATGAGTTTTACTTTAGTTATAAGATAACTTCAATCTAGTGGGTGGATCAGGTCCAAGCTGGTATAGTAAAGGTGCACCAGGATGCAAATGATATTGAAGTCTAACACCAGTAAGTGGAATTCTTTAGGGATCCATGTTCACTTGTCTTCTGTAAGCAACACCATTTTACTTCACAGTCCCTCCCCTCAACTCTGCTCCACTCCACTGCGACCCAAGAGCACCATCATTACCAAAAACCATTGAAGAATAAACCCCAGGGCACTCACTTTCAGCATCTCCATTTCCAGCTCTTCATCACTCTCAATGACACGGGACATATTTTGTTCATTGTCTGTGGAAGATGACTCGTAAAAAAACAACATCATTTCCTTCTTATCAGCAATTCCTACTTTATCCACAACCTCCCAACCTTCTGGACATACTATAAATCATTTCTCTCTATGTTTTCACTTCTTACCCAAAATAATTAAGCTCAACATTTAGCTCTGCAGTCCATTAAAAACAAAATGCCTGAAAGAAATATTAGAACTTAACAAGGTTTTGTAGTAAGAAAAAACACAGCAGTATCACCAGATGTGTGAAACACTCAGAACATAAGGAAATGATCATCTGATTTAAGAGCCATCAATCTACACTCAGGACTGCTGATTTCCACATCCCTTAGCAACAGACCTGCTATTTATCCATGACCAAGCTGAAGATGCTCCAGTGCAGAATCTGTCCCCTACTGCAAGGAATTCTTTGTTAAATATTAACTGAAAGAGGAAAACTAATGTGACTATCTAGGGCTGCTGTGTTTGGTACCAATCCTTCCAAACAAATGACTCAGCTCAATGAGCTCAATGCTTGACTACAAGCCACAGAGACCTTCCAGACTGAGCCCTTCTTCCAGAACACTTTTATACTCTCTCAGGGACAGAGGTTTTCAAAATCTGGGGAAAATTAAGGATGCAATCACATCCTCTGCTGAGTGTCCATGCTCAACAAGGGCTTTTCTCATTACCTCAGGCACAGCCTCGTTGCCCAACTCATTTGCAGCCTGAAGTTCCAAGACCTGAAGTTCTTGCTCAGTAATGTCCAGTGACATGAAGTCATCTCTCTCTGCAGCCACATTTTCCCCAGCAGTGTTGCCTCCCTCTGCCTCCTCCTCATGAATTTCTCCTTCCCAGAGTGCAGCCAGTGTAGCATCAGAGCAGATGTTGAAGTCACCTTCAGGTTGTTCAGCACATTTGGCTTTTTGTGCTCCAGCACATGCTGACTTGGCTTCAAAATCTGTTGGAGTTGCACCACAGCTCCTCTCCAGTGCAGAAGGGGAACCTGAACCCAACAATGTGCTTCTTAAGGCATTTATGTTCTCTGATATCTCAGCTACTATTTCTGCAGCCCTAGGAGGCAAAACAAGGGAGTTAAAATCATCAAAGCAGTTACTACACTCAGCTACAAGAAGAGGATTCTAGTGTTCCTCCAGAGTGACCGTGTCCAAAACCTCAACAGAAAGACTCACATACATGCAATTGCCATTCCACCTCTGTGAGAAGAAAATTAAGTCTCTACACAGAGCAAAAACTGTAAAATCCCTCCAAACACACTGTTTATGGTGTTGCCTCTCTGCCTCTATCAAGTCTCCAAACTTACAGTGGATGGTCTAGTCACACCAGAGTCCCGAGTATTTAAGAAAGGTCTTGCTGTACACTGAGACATCTTCAGACAGTGAAACAGGTATGAGACACTGGCACAGGGTGCCCAGGGAGGCTGTGGCTGCCCTAACCCTCACAGTGCTCAAAGCCAGGTTGGATGAAGCCTTGAGCAACCTGCTCTGGTGGGAGGTGTCCCTGCCCAGGGCAGGGGGTTGGGGCTGGATGATCTCTAAGGTCCATTCCAACCCCTTAACATACTATGACTTCAGCAAGAAGAAACAAATTCAGCCAGGTTCAGTGTCAGACCCATTGCAACTGGACCAGTGAAAACGTGCATTCCTACATATGAAGAAGGAATATACATCCCTTTCCTTGGACAGGGATGCACGGGTAACAGATGGCTGTTCACACACTTGTTTTGCTGTGTGGGACCTTTGAAATCAAGACCAAAACACTGATCCTGCAGGTAAAGTAGAGAAAGGTTGGCAAAAAACTGACCTCTGCAAGTCTTCCAGTTGTCCAAAAGAGTCAGGGACATGAGAAGCCAAGTTTGTTATCTCTTGAGCCAGTGAAGTCAAGTGCTCCTTCAAACCCGTCGACAACATGGCACCTGTAAGAAATGTCATCAGTTATCTCACACTAATTGAGGCCTAAATCTACATGTAAATAAGTCCCATTCCAGTATGTGATTTCTGAAAGATCTACAGCTGATTAGACAGCATTTTCCAGGGTTTAAAAATCAAGTAGAGAGAATCTGGCCAAGCTTCCAGGTACTTCAGCATTGAACCTCTTCCCTTACACATGCTCAGGGAAAACAGATACACAGCAGGAGCAATACAAAGGGATCCTTTCCTGCACACCCTCCAGCTTCCAGGTAAGAGCTACTAACACAGATATGCTGACTAAAGCAAGGCAAATAAGTGCCCCTCATATCAAAGGGACAGTACTGCCACTTCTGCCTTTGACAGAGCAGTAGAATTGAACCAAGAGAAAAAGCAAACAAAGCCCTTCCTGCCTCTTTTTCAACTGTCACCTGCAACACTTATGAAACATAGAACTGAACAAACCCTAAGATTTTAGCATCACTTCTCTAATCAAGTAAATAATGCTCTAAAACATTTGGGTACTGTTGATATGCCTCAAGAAAAGCATTACTTCATGACATGGTTGTTTGTAGCCTTAGCTGTTCTTAAATTAGCTATTTGTCCCTGTATCAGCAGAATTGGAATTAACT